TCCAGAAGCATTTCCCAATTTCTGGTGGAAATTCCCCAGAGAGCAGCACTTCCCATCTTATAAATCTAGGTACTTCCCCACCTTATGAAAGTGAGCTTAACTTCTCTAGTTATAAAATAAGTACACTTTCATTTTACAAACTTTGGAAAATACAGACAAGCGTGAAGAAGGAAATAAAAGTCACATATATTCTGACGCAGCAGTGGTAGTCACTGCTAAATTTTAGTAAAATTTTCCTGTTTTTTTCTATGCAGGTATATAGATACAGTATCTATTTTTCTACAATATAGCTAATCTATCACCAGCTCCAGAATCAGTCATTAGTATATCTACCCATGTGCACCTCCTCTATTCCACCCCATCAGATGTAAACAATGATACAATGCTTATAATTCCCTTGTTTTTTCCTAAAGTAAAATTACAATGCACACACACACACACACACACACACACACACACACACACACACACACAATTGGGATTACGTTGTGCATATACTTTTGTTTCCTCTCTCTTTCCCCGAATATAATATTAAGAGCTCTATCCCCAGAACATCAAAAATTATCAGAACACATTTTAATGGCTGGATCAAAACCCAGAATATGGGTGGATATAGTTTATTTGGGGCCCTGGTGGCACAGTGGTTAAGAGCTATGGTTGCTCACCGAAAGGTCAGCAGTTCGAATCCACCAGCTGCCCTTTGGAAACTCTACGGGGCAGTTCTACCCTGTCCTGCAGGGTTACTGTGAGTTGGAATCCATGCAACGGGTTTGGTTTTTGGTTTCGATTGTTTAATGAATCCTCTGTATTGGCCATCTAGGTTGCTTTTTAATTTTTTGCTACTATAAACCATTCAGGAGCTCTGGTGGAATAGTGGTTAAGAGCTCGGCTGCTAACCAAAAAGGTCAGCAGTTCAAATCCACCAGCCGCTCCTTGAAAACCGTATGGGGCAGTTCTACTCTGTTCTATAGGGTTGCTATGAGTCAGAATCGACTCAATGGCAACAGGTTTTTTTGTTTTTGATAAACCATTCAAGCTGTTCAAGATAAGTCTTTGCACAAATCTATGATTATTTCCTTGAAATGAGTTCCTAGATATGGAATTCCAGGACTAAAAGTATGATGTATGTAAGTCCTTGATCATTCTGTTCCTCTGCTCTGGAAGCCGTTCCCTCGTGCCCACCGTTCCGAGCTGTCACTTCCTCTGAGAAGCCTGCAGTTGCCTCCCCAGGCAGAGTTATGTGTGTGCTTCCCTCCCCACTGCCCACCCCCCACCAAGTCTCTGTGCTCTGCAGCCTCCTTGTAAAGGCCCAGGGGCTTGGCTTGCTGCCTCCTTCTCTTCAAAGATGTACCAGCAGCTTATTACCTAGGGGATCCTCAACCCTCATCAAAGTTTTTGGGGTCCTTGGCCTTGAACACAAGCAAGTGATCTTCTTTTCTTTAATGAAACTAGGAATTAAATAATACTTCTGTTTTCAAAGTCTTATCTCTACACGTAGGGTAGTTGAACTGTCAAATCTTCACAATGGGGTCTCTGTTCTCAGTGTCCCCCTCCCCACTATTTCTGGGTAAAACTATACTAACCTTCTGAAGTTTTCTCTCCAAAAAGCAATGTAGGCAGATCAGCAGGCTATCTTGACTCAAGAGGGTGACCTGAACTGGGAACCTGTTCACAAGTTTTGCCTTGGGCCTCTAGACCCGCACAGCAGTGATGTTTTGGGGTGTTTCCTCATACCTTAGCTCTGAGTATGGTGCCCTGTACATAGTAAGCACTTATCAAATATCTCTCAAATGAAGAAATTTAAAGTCCTTTCTCTGCTCTATAATGCTGTAATTCTAGGTTGTTATAGGAGAAGAATACCTTGTTATTGTAATTTGGACTGAGAGTCCCTTCTATACTTCCCAAGAGTTTACATCCAGTGGGGGTGGGGGAAATGAGAACTGGCTGTAGTTCTCTGGTGCAGTTTTGTTTTGTTTTAATTTTGTGTGTATTTATTCCTGCTTCTTCTGTGTGTGTGTGTGTGTGCGCGCGCGCGCGCGCGCACGCGTGATAAATACACATGTAACAAAACATTTGCCGTTTCACCATTCTTCACATGTACAATTCAGTGACATTGTGTTCATCACGCTGTGCAATCATCATCATTATCCATTTCCAAATTTTTCCATCACCCTTAACAGAAGCTCAGTGTCACCTAAGCAATGAGTCCCCCTTTCCTTCCTACCCACCACTGGTAACCACAAATAAACTTAGGTCTGTATGCACGCCTCTTCTAGATATTTCATATAAGTAGAATCATACAATGTTTGTCCTTTTGGGGCTGACTTATTTCACTCAGCATGGTGTTTTCAAGGTTCATCTATATTCTAGCACATATCAGTTTCATCTCTCTTTATGACTGAGTTCTATTCCAGTGTATGTATGTAACACATTTTGTTTATCCATTCATCTGTCAGTGGGCATTTAAGTGGTTTCCATCTTTTGGCCATTGTGAATAGTGCTGCAATGAACACTGGGGTACCTGTATCTGTTTGGTTCTTGCTTTCAGTTCTTTCGGGTACACACTATACCTACAGGTGGAATTGCTGGATCGTATGGTAATTCTATGTTTAACTTTCTGAGGAACTGCCAAACTGTTTTCCACAGTGCTGTATCATTTCTGGCGCAGTTTTTGAGGTGGCTAAGGCCAAAGTCTTGATATGGACATTGACTGTTTAATCTGCATCCAGCTAAACTGACAGGGCCAGGACAGGAAGCAAAGGAAGGATCCTCTCCTACAGAAGCGCTGGTTTCCTTCACAGTTTCTTTTACCGCCTTCCTGTTTCAAGTGTTGGGAAAGAGAGCACGTCTCTCTGGATGATCTAAGACGACGGTTGTCAGGTCTTTTCAGAAGAAAGACTTTTGAGTAACAAGATGAAAAAAGGAATGTTGCCCAATTCCTGCTCAATGTGCTGTTTCTAGCCTTTAATGACCAGCTGTATTCAACAAAGGCCAGGTCTGAGCCAAAGCACAGGCTGAAATTGTGGCTCTAATGAACAGGTCTCCTGTCTATGAATAAATATGGGTTTTGCCTCTATAGCTTTTAAACTCTCATAGCATATTAATTTTCATCAGTCTTATTAACTAATGACTATTTTCCATATGCCAGGTAGATTTACATGCTACAGATACATCATGTCATTTAATACCCATTACAGTCCTCTGAGGTATATATTACTTACTTCTGTTTCTCTTACGAGGAAACTGAGGCATAGAGAGATTAAGTTGCTTGCTTAAAACCACAGATTTGGGAGAGCTGAGGCACAAAACCAGCTTCTTGACTCCAGTACTCACTTTATTTAGCCTATTAGGTTATACTGCTTTGCTTATGGCATTTATCATATTCTGCTTCATTTAGCAGTTATTTGTCCAAGTCTTAGCTTACGAGTCCCTTGGGGGTGTTTATCATTTTTTGTCTGTGATTAAGTTTAAATGCCTGACACAGAGCAGGCAAATCATATCTGCCTATTGACTTAAGCAGCAACCTGGTGTCAGGGACTGAGCCTCACAGACTTTGTGGGCTTTCTTCTCCCCAACTTTTTATTTTGAAAATTAAAACTCACTGAAAAGTTTCAAGAATAGTGCAACGAATACCTGTATATCTCTCACCTAGATTCACCAATTGTTAACATTTTGTCACATTTGCTTGCTCTCACTCTCTCTTCTTTTGAGCCATTTAAGAGTTAGTTGCAGACATGCTGTTTTACTCCTAAAGGCTTCAGGATGTATCTCCTAAAAACAAGGATATTTCCACATAACCGAAATACAATTATCCTCAGAAAAGCTTTCATTGTTACAATACTACTAATACAGTCTATATTCAAAGCTCCCCAGTTGTCCCAATAATGTCCCTTATAGCTGTTCTTTTCTTAAATTATGTTTTTATCTAGGGTCCAATTTAGTATCACACATTGCTTTTTGTGTCACGTCTTTCTTTTGTTTCCTTTAATGTAGAATAGTTCACTATCCTTTTTCTTAAAATTCCATGAAACCTACATTTTTTAAGAGACTGGGGCAGTTGTTCTGCAGAACGTCCCTGAATTTGATTTGTCGGATTGTTTCCTCATGAATATGACACTTTTGGCAAGAATACTACTTTTGTGTTCTCTGTGCATCCCATCCCTGGTGATGTTTAGTTTGATCCATTGATTAAGGGTGATTTCTTTGGTGTAAAAACCAAAAAACCAAACCCGTTGCTGTCGAGTCGATTCCCACTCATAGCGACCCTGTAATACAGAGTAGAACTGCCCCACAGGGTTTCCAAGGAGTGCCTGGTGGATTCGAACTGCCGACCTTAGGTTAGCAGCCATAGCTCTTAACCACGGTGCCACCAGGGTTTCCCTTTGGTGTAAAGGTACCATTTATTTTTTGTAATTTAGTAAAGAATCTGTGGGGTGATACTTAGAAACAGTATGAATATTCTCAACAGTCAGCATCCATTGATAATTTTTGCGTGAATCAATTATTACTATGGTGGCTTCAAATGGTGGTTTTGTTTCTATAATTTCTTCTACATTTATTGCCTGGTATCTTCGGCAAAGAAGAGTCGCCCCACCCCACCTTGAACTGGAATCTGTATCTGTGTGATCTTGAAGAAATCACTTACCCCCTCGGCACCTATGTTTTCTCATCCTTAAGATGAGATGAACCTAAGGGTCACATTCTTGAATTCTGGTCTGTCTGAGATGAAATTCCCATAAAGACCTGCAAAGGCATCTGCCCAAGAATGAAACGGTCTGGTTCTGACCCGTCAGACCAGGGGCATCCATCAGTCTTCTCCACCCGCCTTCCCCGCGGCCCCTCCCATGGTAACAGTAACTAGTAGCCTTCGGGCGTTCTCGCGAGAGGAAGCCCCTTCCCGGGGCAAAGTGCGGTCCCTCGTCCTTTCCAACACCACGTCAGTCCCCCGCCCCCCGCCCAGCCACCTGTGCGCTGGGCTCTCCTGCGCACGCGCACACACGGAGCCAGACAGTTGGTGGTGTTTGTTCGCCCCAGCTGTTTCTCTCCCCCGCCCAGACCAGCCGCGAGCGAACCCCGCCGGACATCTAGGCGCAAACGCGGGTCGGCAGAAGGTGGGGCGCGCAGGCGTCGCCGGGGGAGCGAGGTCGCGCAGGCGCGGACAGCGTTGGTTTGAAGAAGACCTTCAGCTTGCCCTGGTGGAGCGGAGACAGGCCGTGTGGTTGGAGGTGAGAGGGGCGGAGGCCGCCGGCCGGCGCAACCGGCGGAGGAGCCGGGGGAGCGGTGCGTCGCGACGTAGCAGGGGACTTGACGAGAGACTCACCTAACGGAGGGTTCAGGAGGGACAGAGCAGTGTAACGGGGCGCGAGAGCGGCGCGGGCCGGCCGGGCAGCGGAGGGCAGAGGGGGCGCTGCTCCCTGTCAGGGACCTTGCTCCGCTTGCCGCCTCAGGTGATGGAGCCTGGCGGTGAGGGGTGGTGCTGTGAGCGCAGAGTCTCGACCTTTCCTCCGTCTGGTGTCGGGACAGGACTTTCTTTCCAGGCGTCAGGCTAGAAAGATTGATTTCTAGGGAAGTTGGACCCTCGAACTTCAAACCCGTCCCCCCGTTTCCAGCTTCCTCTTTGGAATTGTTATTAAACATCAGGGGAGCTCTTCCACTCCTTGCGGCCAAGGGAGGATGCTGTGCAGCAATTTAGAAAGAAACGAGGAACAAAAAAGAGCTCTTTGCTGACTGTCAAGTTAGTAATTGTGTAAAGCAGTATTACCCAGTTAACGTCTTCCCCACCACCCCCGTCTGCATCTAATGCAACACCGGTGCATTTGTGCATATCTACAAACAATAAGTGCATTTGTGGAGCTAATAGAAATATGTGACTGTACTATCGAGTAACATGAGGTCATCTCGTTTTTTGCTTGATCATACCAGCAGTGCGTTTCCCATCAAAATCATGGGCCTGAAAAAGTAACCTAAAAATAGGCAGAATTAAGATAATTAGGTGAACTAAACCTGCTACGCGGTTTTTTCAAATTATCTGGCAGTGGTTTTGAAAAAAATAACAAAGCAAAATACTAAAAGATTGTAATTAGCCCCTATACATATGGGTGCTTCTGAACATTTTAGTGTTTTTTTTTTTTCCTCCTCTTCGCGGTAGAAGAAAAACCAGAATGTAAAGCCTTAACATTTCTATTTGAATATGTAGTGCCTGCTTTTCTATACTTTCCTTCCAAATTGTGATAATAAAGAGTAATAGCATCAGATTGGAAATATGTAAATTGATCATTCGAGTACAAGGGTTTGAACCATAAAATAATTACTCTGGAGGTGAACTCTGAAGCCTTGTAGCTGCTGAGCGAAGTTTTATGATTATGTGAGTCAGTGCATTTATACTGAATATGTAAAATCTCCTTCCTCATAACTTTATATCATACTGTCATTTCACTGGTTTAGGTTACAGGACAAATTTTAAATAAATTCACAGTTGAGAAGTGCATCATAAGTGTACGTCATGTTCAGGTATGATGGTGTAGGTAGAAGCTTAGCAGAAGGCCAGATTAAGAGCTAGGCTAAATATAAATAAATATTAGTTTGAATATGTAGATGGTTTAGGCATAGGAGTTGCAAAGGCTACCTGGTGTTCTGAACTTTTTAATGACATAGTAAATCAGGCTAATGTGGCTACTTGAGGTGGTTCTATAATTTGTTAGACATGGCTTTGGAGTTTGCAACAACAGAAGCTGTTGCAGGAAAAGATTTTCCAGTATACAGAGAGGGTAAAGGAATGGTATGTTCTGAAATGTTGATAGCTGCTGCGAATTTGATGTGAGGGTCATATTGGTGGTAGACAAGCTGGCTGAATACTAAGTAGGCAAGATGAAAAGTGAAGGCATCTTGGATTTTTGAAGGCTTTAGCATTGTAATTTACACCAATTTTTGGTAAACAGATTATGTAGGTAGAATCCATCCTATTTCTGGTTAATGGGTATGATTACAGCACTTCATTTAAGAAGCGCTTGGAGAGAGGGCATATTCTGAGTGGATACATTTCAGTTAGTATGGTAGTTTCTGATTTTAAGAACTGAATTTCAGAGAAGCAAAAATGTTAACGAAAAGGATTTTGTTTGCATCTATTCTTGTCAAAAACCAAAACCAAACTCGTTGCCATCGAATCAATCCCCACTCATAGCGATAGGACAGAGTAGAACTGCCACACAGGGTTTCCAAAGGAGCAGCTGGTGGATTCGAACTGCTGACCTTTTGGTTAGCAGCTGTAGCTCTTAACCACTACACCACTAGGGTTTCCACCTATTCTTACAGTTCCTTAAAATATTTACCTTGTTCCATATATTGCTCTTTGGCTTTTATCACAGCCTGAGAAAGGTTTTTCTAAGGTGAATTTTGCATATTTTTTAAAAGTAAGAAGTCCAGTTTAACAAAGCATCTCCTCCAGCCTGTGAGAACTTTGTTTTCTTTGATGTACTCAGGAAGATGTCCTCTGTGACTCTCATGGGAAAACCTTTTTCTTCTTCAGTGTTCTGGAAAGCTCTTTTATAAGGACTTAATGCCCTCTCAACTTTGATTGCATTAGGATATAAGCATTAATGATGCAAAGGAAGAGAAAACTGTATACTTCTCCAAGGATGAAATGTTGAAAAACTGTGGTTGAATAAATACTAAATGGTCATTTTTATTCCTTTGTCCCCACATTTCTTTATAAGATATGTGTAACACACCGACTTACTGTGACCTAGGGAAGGCTGCCAAGGATGTCTTCAACAAAGGATATGGTAAGTAATGCTATTGTAAATTTCCATCTTTGGGGTTTTAAGGATTAGTGATTTAAAGGGATAACTATTAACAGGTTAGTAGGCTTCATTTTTTAGATGTAGAGTCCTTTGTTTTTGTTGTTAGGTGCCGTTGAGTCAGTTTTGACTCGTAGAGATCCTATGTGACAGAGTAGCACTGCCCATAGGGTTTTCTAGGCTGCAGTCTTTAAGGAGGAGCCCTGGTGGTTAAAGAGCTCGGCTGCTAACCAAAAGGTCAGCAGTTTGCATTTACCAGCTGCTCCTTGGAAACCCTATGGGACAGTTCTACTCTGTCCTGTAGGGTTGCTGTGAGTCAGAATTGATTTGACAGCAGCAGGTTTTTTTGGTTTTAATCTTTAAGGAGGATCCCCGGTGGTACAGTGGTTAAGCGTTCAGTCGCTAACCAAAAGGTCGGCAGTGGAGCCTGTGGGGCATTTGTACTCCGTCCTGTATGGTCGTTATGAGTTGGAATCGATTTGATGGCAACGGGTTTGGTTTTTTGTTTTGGAATCTTTAAGGGAGCAGATCACCAGATCTTTCTCCTGTGGAGCTGCTGAGTGGGTTCGAATTGCCAACCTTTAGGTTAGCAACTGAGAGTTTGACTACTGTGCCACCAGGGCTCCTTTAGAGTCCCTTAACAAGCATAATGTTATCTATAATATAAAATACTGTAAACCTATAATGTCTATGCCTCTTTGGCTAGTCCTGGGGACAGTTAAAGCAGGGAGTACTTTTTTCCCTTCCAAATAATGGCAGTGTTTTTATGAGAGTAAAGATAGAACTTTTGACTTCTTTGAAGTAATATATATTCATTGATCCCAAATACACATTTATTTTTAGTTTTTTAGAACTTAATCTTTAAATTCTTAATTTTTATGCCGAACACATTTGATTTCTTATTAATCAGTAATATATTTTAAACTAGTGTATATATCGGCATAATATCTTCTAGTAATATTGGTTCTTGGAGTAATGCATATTCCTTTCATTCATTTGTTTTTAACTTATATTTTTAAATATGTGTTTATTTGTTTTGGAGTGCTTAAAAGTTATACTTATTTAGTTATAATCCAGTTTCTTATGGAACTCTCAACTAATGAGAGTACTATGTATTTTCTATGTGGAAGATACTACAGACTATTTTCTTAATTTCTGAGTTGCAAAAATTGGACTGGACATCACATTTTGTACATTACTGTGTTTTTGTGTGTGTGTCTAGGGTTTGGCATGGTCAAAATCGACCTAAAAACCAAGTCTTGTAGTGGAGTGGTGAGTACCTAATATTTTTTTAATAGATGTAACCTAATGAGAGACACCTATTTAAAAACCATTATTCATGCTAGTTATGTGAAACAGTATACTTTTGACACTGTGCTGTCTTCCCTACAGATTTATCCTATTCTCATATTTCAGTGAGCGTCCTTACTCAGCCAGTTAAACCCGTAGATAATCAGGTTGAATTTTGAGGGAACTTAGGTGTTTGTTATAAGAGTATTCTGAGTCTTACTCCCGTAAAATATAAAATATATATTTTTGACCCTTGACATATCTTTATATTTTCATGAATATGCACATGGACACTAGAAATTTTACTTCCGTTATAATGGGTTCATGCGAGATTTTTGTTTTTTGTAATTTATTTCATTTTGTTGTTGTTGAGAATATACACAGAGAACATACACCAGTTCAACAATTTTTACAATTAAGTGACATTGATTACGTTCTCTGAGTTGTACAACCATTCCCACCCTCCTTTTCTGAGTTGTTCCTCCCCCGTTAACATAAACTCACTGTCCCTTATGGTTCCTGTCTAATTTTTGAAGCTGCTATTGTCAGTTTGATCCCATATAGATAGATCTTGTTGTTGTTAGGTGCCATTGAATCGGTTCCAACTCATAGTGACCCCATGTACAACAGAACAAAACACTGCCTGGTCCTGTGCCATCCTCATGATTGTTGTTATGCTTGAGCCCATCGTTGCAGCCACTGTATCAGTCTGTCTCATTGAATATCTCCCTCTTTTTCGCTGACTCTCTACTTTACCAAGCATGATGTCCTTCTCCAGGGACTGGTCCCTCCTGTATAACATGTCCAAAGTATGTGAGACGAAGTTTAGCCGTCCTCGCTTCTAATGAGCATTCTGGCTGTAGTTCTTCCATAGATAGATCTTAAAAGAGCGTAATGCCCAAGGCAGACATTCTTTACTAGTTAAGCTAAACTATTGTTTGGTTTTAAGAAGACTTCAGGGGATGTTTTTGGTTTAAGGTTTAAAGATTATCTCAGGGCAGTGGCGTCTGGGGTCTCAAAAGCTTGCAAGTGGCCATCTAAGATGCATCAATTGGTCCCAACCACCTGGAATAAAGGAGAATGAAGAACACCAAAGACAGAAGGAAAGTATTAGCCCAAGAGACAGAGACTTCATCAGCCTGAGACCAGAAGAACTAGATGGTGCCCAGCCACCACCAATGACCACCCTGACAGGGAACACAACAGAGAGTCCCGGATGGAGCAGGAGAAAGGTGGGGTGCAGAACTCAAATTCTAGTACAAAGACCAGACTTAATGGTCTGACTGAGACTGGAAGAACCCCGGAAAGCATGGCCCCTGGATTCTCTATCAGCCCAGAACTAAAACAGTTTCCAAGACCAACTCTTCAGGCAGGGATTGGACTGGACTGTGGGACATAAAGTGATACTCGTGAGGAGTGTGCCTCTTAGCTCAAGTAGATACG